TATAAAACATCACGTTTCATAACTTTTATTATCTTGTACAAATAAAAAAATAAAAAATATATAATACTTTAATTACACGTTTTCGATTTGGATATTTCATTTTGACAGCAGACACACAAAATCCGTGACTGCACGTACCTTTCGAAGTTACGTCTAATGACATTACCTTACCTTAAAAAAATGTTAATTCCATCAAGGTCCCTATTAATTCTTGGTAAAAAAATACATACGATATTCAACATATATAATTCTATTAAGCAATGAACAGTAATAACGTTGGCATCGACCATCTTCAAATTGTAATCAATCACAGAGAAAACATGATTGTGAAGTCTGACATACGTTATGGATCGTACAAATAAGTATAAATAATACATCTGATTGCGGGTCACGAGTCTGGCTTATTGTATGTTCGTCACACTTGTATGTTCGCCACGGTGAAATGTGTAAATTGTATATTCGTCAACTTAGTTTTTAATGTAATTATAAAATGGTTTTGTTAAACAAAATTAGGAATTAGTTTAAACAGTATTCTTTATTTGTATTTGACAAAAATAATTATATTAGAAGTAATTGTAAAGGTTGATATGTCTGTGGATTTTACAAATAAAAAGAAATAATACATCTGATTGCGGGTCACGAGTCTGGCTTGTTGTATGTTCGCTATGGGGAAATGTGTAAATTGTATATTCATCAACTTAATTTTTAGTGTAATTATAAAATATATTATAAATAAAATTAGGAAATAAGTTAAAAAATAACCTTTATTTGTATTTGACAAAAATAATTATATTAGAAGTAATTGTTTGACATGTCTGTGCATTTTGCAACATAAAACAAATAATACGAGTACATCTGATTGGGGGTCATGAGTCTGGTTTATTGTATGCTCGCTGCGGTGAAATATGTAAATTGTATATTCGTCAACTTAATTTTTAATGTATTAATAAATGTTATGTATATTGTAGGATCGTTACATTTGTAAGTTCGCCACGGTGGAATGTGTAAATTGTACATTCATCAAATTAATTTGTAATAAAACTTTTGAAAGGCTAATAAAAAAAAAAATCTTTATTTCGACTTTATATATAAACGATTACATTATAAGAAGTAATAAAGTTTGACACATACTTAAATTATATTTTACAAATAATCTGATTTCGAATCGTGTCTAGATTATTGTATTCTATAACAATTGTAAGTTCGTTACAGAAAAATATTGTGTAAATTGTAAATAAAACATTTTTTTTAAATTTTTTATTTGATTACACAATCTTTAAATATGTAACATGTTTCTTTAAATAAATCGACTTAAAAGAACATACTGTCGCATACCTCATACATTTTCACTCTCTAGAGAGCATATATTTTTAACTAACTTGCCTAATACTGAGCAAGCAAAATAGTTAAAAGTATACATTATTTAGTGTATTTTATATTATATAATTAAAATAATTTAGAAATTATTTTAAATATTTTTAAAGAGTAATATATGAATTTAATGTGAAAAAATCGTGATAAGGTAATATACTATTTTATATAACCACCACTTAGAGATCGTAAAGTAGGGATAGGTAATATATAGTAATATATCTATATATAGTAATATATAGTAATATATATTTTATTTACAATATCTATATATTGGCCCAATAATAGATATATTAAATATCAGTTATCCAATATGTAATATCACAACGAAGAACACTATCGGAATAAATATAGATACCTGATCTGTATGAACGATACCAAAATGGGTGACGACCTTTCTTCCATCATCAATCTCCAAAGGAAGTCGATATATAGATATTAGAGCTGTATCGATATTACTCAAGCCTACCGCAAGGGTAAGGAGTTGAGTTCTGATCGACACTAAAAACTTTGTATCACTCTCCAGTGATAGTAAACACTGTTAACAAACAAAACGAATCAAAATGGCATCTCTCCCCGCTCGTTTTTATGTTTAACAAATTTAAACATATTAAGAATGTATACAGTCAAGAAATGTCTCTAATTACCTCATTAAGGGTTACTTCTTATATTGTTACTAATTAGTAATTACTAATTAATTACTAATTATTCCGTAATTAAAGAAATATAGTTGCGTGTTTATGTTTAATTTTAATTAAAATATAATTAAATTTATTGAAACTATTTCTGAATTTGTAAATTTACAATTTAGTATTGTGAGTTAGGTCGTTTTTCAATGCGGGCGCGTGTGTGAAGTAAAACAATGATGATCTTACAGATAACGGTGATCTTTGATCTCATATTTTACCGGGCAATCCGTGTGGTCGATATTACGATGCAGATACGAAACGTGAATTCATAAAATTAAACATTCTTATCTATATAAATGATTGATATTATGAATTATATATATAAAAATCGATGTTATATTAATAATTTACTTGTAATCGTTATGGTACTCCATCAAAGTCTTATAAGAAATATGAATAGTATTTTTGTTAATAAATAACTATAAAAAAAAAAGTCAATCTTATATAGATATATAACTCTCATATTATATATGAGAACTGTAAAGATTTAAAGTTCCAATATGTTGAACTATTTAATTTAAACACAATATGAATTGTTATCAAATGAACAAAATTACTAAAGCATATTGAATTTCGAATCAATTTTAATAAACCGTATTGAGGGTAGTATAAGAAAATGGTATGAAAATTAAAGTTAAGAATCGAGCACTGACATATGGTTATATTATATCTATATTATAATATAGATATAATATATATTATAAATAAATATTATATATATTATAGCAACTATTAATGCTATCTTTTTCAAATTTGTAATAATTCTAAATATTGTTAGCCTACACACTGCAATTAGCAATAGAAATACATAATTGTTAATAAAAAATGTAATTGGTAATTTGTATTACTTTATAAGTAAAATTACTTACAATTTAAATAAAAAAATCCAACAGGTACTGATTGGGGATAGGGTACATAGGCAAAGGGCAATGGGGACCTCCAGCCTCATTGTCAGCGTTTGATGCATTCATCAACTGACCTAACTTCATCCTCACTTATTTATCATTTCTCACCGGTACCCCGTTATCAATATTTATTGCACAGGCGAAGCGGAGTTACCATTTCGTTACCATTATTAAAAAAGTGCCAAATTAAATCAATCGATTATATGGTTTGTTCATCATTTTCGTTTTTATGTCAGAATAATCATTGTAACATATGTAAATATCAAAAAGAGATGAGTTTGATTATTTAATAATTACAATTGATCGCTTGCTAATATAATAAACGTGAAATGAATTTGTTTGTTGCCACTTAGCTGGTAGAATAACTATTTCATCAATTGCCATAAAATTTGATATACGTATAGTACTTGTATTTGTGATAGAAAAGGACATAAACTACTTTCATCATTGTCAATCAATATTGTAGTGATCACGCGGACGCGATCACGGGTAAAAGCTAATAATTATCATCATAATATACATAAATAAATAATATCTATATAAAAAAAAAATATCTTTATGACTAGGTACGATAAACATAAAATATATTCATAATCATAAAACATTTTCGTTGCCTAAACCACCCTCACATTACTTGGCGTTGGTGTTACAAAGTAGATACATTTCATTTTCATTTTGTACTGTCTGTTTTGATGTAAAAAACTAACTTTGCTAGGTGGCTATTGTCACTTGTTTGTTTCACAGAATAACTAGTGTACTTTCTTTATTTCTCTGGTCTGATCTTAAGATTTAAATAATTTTCTACCCATATTCCATTTATTTGGTGTCGGTGTAATATTGTTTATTCATATAACCCAAGATTTTGGCTTTTAGTTTTACGACCGGCCGTCTGCCCGACATTAACCCTCCTTAGAAATTATTATAATATATAATAATAGTCTAGTATTTATAATTTTTTATAATATCGTATTTTGACTATTAAAATTTTAATATTAAAAAACATCGTTTCAGAATAACTCTTTATTATATGTTATTTTACTGTATTTCGTAAAATATTGCAGAAATTCTTTTAATTGATATTATATTATATATCAATGATATTAATTAGTTATTTTACATCTATGGCATAGAATTTCGCATTAATATTGTTTTATTTATTTAATATAATAAAGCAGTTTAGTAAGATAATTTTATTAAAACTCCATAACGTTATATATTATATTTTATAGACATATTTAAAGAGATTTTTATAAAATTGGTATAATTTTAGATAAATATATTATTTATTTCTATTAATCATTAAGATACGAGATAAATAAAAGAATGAAAAACAAGCCGAAAAATCTGTTAATTTTATTAAAATAAAACCGTAGTTTATTGCGATAATTTTGTAGTAATCTTTGCTACATATGTAATGAAATTTAATTAGTTTAGCAGTAACATTACTAAATATTACACTATTTACAATTAATTATTTAATTCCTCGACTTACTAACGAACTACCCACCGATGTGCGGGATAATATTACTATTAGTAACATCAAGTGTAAATAAAAAAAAATAACTTATTGCTTTATATTAATACAAGTTTAATAGTCTTAATGTATTTAGCATAAATATAAACCTACGTAGTTTCTGAATGCTATTAAGAATATTTTCAGTATTTCTGTATATTTCTAATGATAAATAAAAAAAATAGTAATATTACTGTAACAAATTTAAAGAACTAATAGCTCAAATTGATTGCCTGTTAAGACACTATTTCAACATATTTTTATCAAATTTTCATGAATCTGTTACTTCAAGTAACAGTCATAAATTTTTTTTCGTATATTGTAAACTTATTCGAATGTTCTGTTAATAGTATATATAATATTATAAATATAGAGTAGGCAGACGTTTAAAAACAATTATCGCCACTTAAATATTGTGAGAATTGTTATATATTTAGGCAAATGACTTAAATTACAACAAATAAAAAATATAGCGGATATAAAATATATAGTATAATAATTGTTATAATAAATATAACTTACCCTGGCGTCTTTTAATTCAAGTGATCACTAAAATAGCTCCTCTTGTTCCACTGAACGGTTCTGAAGGTATTGTTTATCACACATTCGCTGTCAATTTTCCTATATCATTTTCGCACAAAACTACACAATTTCGAACACATGAATTCCACTCGTCAAAAAATCCGGAGTATAAAAAAAATATGTTAAAAAAAAAATAAACAGTTCTATACAGTGTCAGTGTTTGGTAATTCGCAAATTAAAACTGTTGCGAATTCGAAAAAAGAATTCAAAGCGCGCGCGTCCCTGCGTACGCGCAACGCGAATCGCGCGTTTCGTTTTTTAACCGTCTCCGGAGGCACACTCGGATGTGGTCCGTATGTGACTGTATACTCATCTTGCACTTCACGATCACCGAAGAAGATACATCGCCCGTCTCGCTCGCGCACCCCTTCACCCACTATCGTGGTCCCGCTCTCTTATTATCAGAGGTTAAGCCTTGCTCATCAGTCAGTCGACACGCGGACACCGGATGGGAAGGCCGCGTTCACAATTTACAGTTACTTTCTCTATGCGTTATAGGATCATAAAACACGTACCGTATGGTGCGCGCGCGGCTATTCTGTTCGCTCGTCGCTGCGTCTTGGTAATTTATTTCTTTGGTCTCACTGAGCCGGCGCAGGTGGCTGCTCCCTAGATATTTATCGATCGTTTGGCGAGGCCCTGTCAAGATGCATCGCCGTTATTTAATACTAACAAATAATGTCTATAAGCATTACAAATCGTTAACATTTTATCTACATCACGTAAATTTAAATGGGCGGCTATTAAAATTAGGTCGGGGGTCAACAGACGATATGTCATAAAAACGCAATGATCGATACGAGATGCGCACACGCAAGCGAAACTAGATCGCCGAAAATGTTGCACGATCAATTTTATCACCGACCAATCCGGTGGCCGCGAATTGACAAGAACGCTAGATCATTCGTTTAGATCATCGGAGTGTGCATGCGCATTTGCCGCGATTGGCGTGGCGCGCGTTGGCCACGCCTGTACCGTTATAGGGGGGCAATGACTGCCCCCCAAAGTGGGGGTTTGTAGATCAACAAAGGGGGAGGGGGGGGGGGAATGTGTGACATATGACATGTACTAATTAATGCATTCGTATTTTGTTTGTGTAGTACCCGTAAACATTATTAATTCATGAATTTTAATGTTCAAACGAATCAAATAGGACGTCTTTGTTTTAATTTACTATGTTTTTCTATGAATAATTTTCACATTAGATTTAAAATATATGTATGAACATTTACAATTTTGATTAATAAGATGTTTTAGGGTATCAAGTTTTTTTTTTTTTTTTAATATTGTCCTACCGCATTTCTGTTGTAATGAAAGGTTAATTAGCCATAAATATTGTTATTTTTTCTCTCCTCATTTAAATATTAATATTCTTAATATGTTGAATGTGTTTTTAAAAAGTCATTAAAATAATTAATTGGTATTCGCAATATATTATTCAAATAGCAAAATAAAAAATATTAATGTCGTCATAAATATAGTAAATGTACCTAACCTAGCCTAACATTTAGCACAAAATAATATTATTTAATAGATATTTTATTTCATTGTTTCTGCCTACCCTAATGGGAGACAGGCGTGACAGATATGTATGTATGTATATTTTATTCTTACTAAGTAACACAATAGTAATATTATTAAATGCATATTCTAATATTACTAAGTAATAATTAACACAATAGTAATATTATTAAATGCATATTCTAATATTACTAAGTAATAATTAACACAATAGTAATATTATTAAATGAATATTCTAATATTACTAAGTAATAATTAACACAATAGTAATATTATTAAATGCATATTCTAATATTACTAAGTAATAATTAACACAATAGTAATATTATTAAATGAATATTCTAATATTACTAAGTAATAATTAACACAATAGTAATATTATTAAATGCATATTCTAATATTACTAAGTAATAATTAACACAATAGTAATATTATTAAATGCATATTCTAATATTACTAAGTAATAATTAACACAATAGTAATTACATATTTTTATATTAAATTAAACAAAATAAATAACCAACCTATTAATTTTTCTCTGTGTATCATCTGTGAAAATAAAGAAAGAAGTTGTGTTTGCATGACTGTGTTTCGGTTCGAAGGGTGGCGTGAATTTACTGGGTACAGAGGAATAACACCTGAGTCCTCAGGAAAGGCAACGCATGGGGGGTATCAGTGTAACAGTTAACGATCAACTCGAAATCATATATATATATATATATATAAAGTTGTTTATTGTTGTGAAACAGTATACTCTGTTATGTTCACAGCACTGCTCATGTCTATAGGCGACGGTTACCACTTTCCATCAGGTGGGCCGTCAGCTTGTTTGCCATACTAAGTTGCAAAAAAAACCATACCTGCTTCTTTATGGCCGACGTTTATTTAATTTTTTTTTTTTTTCATAATTGATTGTATATTTAAAATGTGTAAACAACGCGCAAGTTAAAAAAATTAACTGGAATATAATAAAATAGAAATAATCCTCAATCAAAAATACTTGTTGACAAGCATTTTTAAATAGTCATTTGATCATATTATTAATTTATGCTAACGCAAGACAAATCACGGATGTAATGATTTATTTAATGATGCTTATGTTTCTATCCAAAGCTTTACACAACATCTGCCTCTTTTTCAATTAGGCTTGTTTTCTATGCCACTTTACATACACAAATATTTTTTTTTCTGAAGAAATGTTTTATTAACTTCTGAGCATTATTATTGACAATGTTGCTGTAGTTTTCAATAGTATTTGTTTGTTTAATTTTGTTTAATTTAATATTGTCTAATTTTGTGTTTCGTTTACTTGTATTTTATTTTGTGCAAATTCTAGTGGCACCCAAATTACTATTTGAGTATATCATTATGTTTTGTTTTAGCTGTTTGTTTGCCTTATATATAAATAAATAAAAATATATAAATAAATAAAAATAATTAAGACTGTGTTTAAAAAACGAACCGACTTTATTTATGGTAAAATTAGATGTTTAGATTTAAACACTAAATTCCGATCTAATATACTCTCAGATAAAAGAAAAAATAATTAAAAAAAATGGGTTTACAATTGATGAAATTATACAGTAACTAACATAAAAAAAAACACGAGAAAATTGTATTTTATTGTATATTAAATCATAAAATAAAGATTTTTTTTTACAACACAGGGGGCAAACGAGCACGCGGCTCACCTGATGGTAACTGACTACCGCCGCCCACGATCACCCACAACACCTACGGCATTGCAGGTGTGCTGCCGGCCTTTTAAAAAGGAATATGCTCTTTTCTTGAAGGTTATGATGTCATATCGGTTCAGAAATACTGCTGCTGGAAGTTGATTGCTTGATTTTAAAATACAATACAAATTAAGTATCTTCTTCTTTTTAAAGTCGGTTGCAAATGACTATAAAATGATTATCATCGCCAACACTATGTCCTTAAAAAGATCACAGTGTCAAGCGTATTGCTGAATAAGGACCTGTTTAGAGCCTAGAACGACTAGCACTTCGCAATGGAAAGTTCATAGGTCATATTCGATCGGTCTATGTATTTAGACTTATCATTTTATACTTATTTCACATGTTATTGTAGAATCTAGAGGTTGTATCTGTATTAAATTTCATAGTAATTATGTAAAATAATCACTCGAAACATACAAACATATACTTGAAACTTCGCCAGAAGGAGACTACAAAAGTCGTTTGCTTGGGTACTTCTGACCTATTCGTGTGTTTACCGTGAAGCAATTGTATTTGCATGGCTGTGTTTAGGTTTCAAGGTTTGGTATATGGCAGTGAATTTACAGGAAACAGACGAATAACACCTTAGTCCTCAGGGATGGCAACGGATGGGAGGTATCATGGGCGAAACAGTGTACTCTGTTATGTCCATAGTACTGCTCATAGGCGACGGTTACCACTTTCCATCAGGTAGACCGTCAAATTGTTTGCCATTCTAAGTTGAATAAAAAAAATTCATCGAATTCCGACCTTCTGACCACATTTCGTCGGAGTCCAATTTTTTAAGCATGTCCAAGAAAAGCTACATTTAATATTTTTTTTTGTAATAGTTCCAATTAGATATCTCTAATCAGAACTCTAATCAGATCATTTATGACTCAAAAGAAAATAGCAGTCATATGAACAGTCAAGGTAATATTTATTCTTTATTGTACACAAAACATACTGTTAATCACAATTCATTATAAACATAATGTATAAAGGCGAGCTTATCTCTAATAAGAGATTTCTTCCAGCAAAACCGTTTCAGGTAGATTGTGTTATTTTAAAAATAAAAATATTTTATCAACAACATTCTGTAAAGACAAACTATAATTTTACATAAACTATTTAAAGGTCACCAAGAGAAAAGAGGTAAATACGCTAAAAGAATCTTGTGTTATGTCACTCACCAGGATAATGTTTAGTCCTGAGTTTTTAATTTTACTGAGTTATGGCACTGAGTTTTTTAATCGCCTCTTACGATTTACCGCCTGCCAAGCGTGGCAACTACTGGCAAAATACCTCACGGGAGAGATTTATGTTCAGCAGTTAAGGGCTGATATGATTATGAAGAGGAATAGGGGAAGAGAAAAAAATAGTTACAATTACAATATACAGATGCACATAATAGCTCATAATAATATTATTGTAAAAACTAGTTACAGATTAGATTTTTACTCTGTCTTGTCTATATGGGTTTTTTTTATGGGTGAAAATAGTATGGTAGCCCTGCCACGCCTGCGATGACGGAATACGCTGGCGGAGCACCAGTGAAGGGTGATAGATGAGAATGAAAACAGGCCAGTTAGCACTTCATGATGAATTCATCAGGAATTAACCGTGATAGTTTCCAGGGGGAACCGCGAGGAGGTCGACCTGATTGGGTATATTGCTAGCAATGGGATTCTCAGTCTCCATTACTAACAATCCCTTTCCCCCCTGTCTACACGGTTATCAATAAGTAATTTCTTATTAGAATAATATTAATACGTAAAAATCCTATAACGCGGTGTCAATTTAAAATAATCTCCAGAATCGCTCGACCAATTTCTCTAAAACTTTGTATGTATATATTGTTCCTTTTGACTTGAGAGACAGGATAATTTTTATAACAAAAATAGGATATTGCCCCGATAAAAAAAACACAGCCGATAGCTGGCGCTAGGGAGCAAATCAACATTAACTAGATGAGTTAAAATACTGTACACTATAATATATATCATAATAAATAGACAGATAGTACATAGTATATAGAATCCAAATCATAAGCTTTCTTTCCAATTTGATCGACAAAGTTTTCATAACGTCAATAAGTAATAAGTGCCTCTGGATACCCCACTTGTGATTACAGTCGTAAGCATATTATAAATTTGTAGATAAAAAATTCACAATCTCCTGTATAAATTTAACAGCTGTACTCGTAGGCATGAAACACTAAGTTTTATAATATTGATTCTTAAAACAAGTCTTTTTAAAGTTCTTAATAAAATTATCT